ATTAAAGAGCACAATTAAATGAAAGAGCACAATGTTTTATTTGATAGAAACAATTCTGAAAATTTTTATAATGACATTGATGAACAGACACACTTTTACAGTGTTTTATTAAAGAATATATTTACATAGTTCCATAATTTAATGTACATTTAACATTTCAAGACAAGAAACAAATAATTTTCCTGTATTTATTTTTTATACGTTATTGAGAAATGACTTTTGATTTATAAATCAGTCATTGTCAAACATTAAACTACATATTTTTCTTACTTTTTTCCAGAGAAAAAAAAATATTACAGAATGTCAACTCTGCTATTGACAGCAAAGAGTGAAAATAATTCTAACAGAGTAAATTATTTTTATTTCATTACATAAGCTGTATTAACACACTAATACTTCAGATTGAGATACTTAAAAATACACAAAAAGTGAAAGAATAAAACATTTATTTATTAAACTGGGAACACTGGTCAAAGGCAGGGCTTCAGTCTGCTGGTCACACTGGGAGAACTCAATGACTTCTGAGACGTCCTGGTTCACAGGCTAAAGCCAAGGATAAAAGAGAAATTATCCAAAAGTGTAATAGAAAACACATATATGTTTCCTTCACATTCAGAAAAAGATATTTTCAGCATGTTGGGCTCTGACTCGTAGCATCTTTATAGTGAAATACCGACATGGAGAAGCTGAGCTGGAAACAGACTGAAGAACAGCAGCAGCTCCAGCTCTGATCCTGACTGATCTTTCCTCACAAAATCCTCTGGTTTTTAATTAACTTCTCTTCTAACAGCGGTTTTTCATCACCTCTCTCTCATTAGAACACAATGTGAAAACGTTAGCTGCTAAGCTAACAATCAGCGGTTATTTCGGGCCAATTAAACTACATAGGAAATATTTTCCGGTTGTTTAGAAGCGAGTTTCTGGCTGCAATGTCAAGTAATTCTGATCTTTCATCCTTACCTGGGGAAGGTGATGCCAATGAATCCAGTTTGTTTCGTAAAACGGTTGAAACACACAGAACAGGACTGAAGGAGCTCCGCTCCTCTGCTGCACATAGAACATGGCGGACGCTGTTACCTACGACTCGGCGATCAGTGAGGCGTCTAGTATTCATGTCTATGGATTCTGCTAAGTAATGTGTTAGCATAGCTCTTTAGCGTTAGCGGAACTCATTTTTATGTCTAGTGCTATACGGTTAGCACATCTAGCGTTTTAGTGAGCGATGGTTGAACGTGTTCCAGGAAGTGAACAGCATCCTCGCTGGCTATGTATTTGCTGGGAGGAGCAGCTCCCAGTGCTCCCAGTTTGTCCTCTGTTGACTCCTGTCTCGGTCTCCAGCGCCTTGCTGTCCATCTCTGAGACCATCTCAGCGCTGTACCCACATTGGGCCTCGCTGCAGGTTCTGGGCGGACCCGGTCCTGAGGGACGTGTCATCACAGCAGCAGCCAATCACAGCAGCCCAACACCGGCTTCCATCAACACATCTGTTGCCACGACAACAGGTCTTGTTTATGATGAGAAGATGATGGAGCATGTGAACCTGTGGGACAGGTGAGTCAACCGCTGTGTGGCTGAACATGGTCACTAGCATTAGCATGTTGCAGTGAACGTGTGAATCGTCAGCGTGTTGCAGTGAACGTGTGAATCGTTGTCAGCGTGTTGCGGTGAACGTGTGAATCGTCAACGTGTTGCGGTGAACCTGTGAATCGTCAACGTGTTGCGGTGAACCTGTGAATCGTCAACGTTTTGCGGTGAACGTGTGAATCGTTGTGAACAGGTGAATCGTTGTCAGCGTGTTGCGGTGAACGTGTGAATCGTCAACGTGTTGCGGTGAACGTGTGAATCGTTGTCAACGTGTTGCGGTGAACGTTTGAATCGTTGTCAGCGTTTTGCGGTGAACGTGTGAATTGTTGTGAACGTGTGAATCGTTGTCAGCATGTTGCGGTGAACGTGTGAATCATGAACGTGTTGCGGTGAACGTGTGAATCGTTGTCAACGTGTTGCGGTGAACGTTTGAATCGTTGTCAGCGTTTTGCTGTGAACGTGTGAATCGTTGTCAGCGTTTTGCGTTGAACGTGTGAATCGTTGTCAGCGTTTTGCGGTGAACGTGTGAATCGTTGTGAACGTGTGAATCGTTGTCAGCATGTTGCGGTGAACGTGTGAATCGTTGTCAACGTGTTGCGGTGAACGTGTGAATCGTTGTGAACGTGTTGCCGTGAACGTTTAAATCGTTGTGAACGTGTGAATCGTTGTCAGCGTGTTGCGGTGAACGTGTGAATCGTTGTCAACGTGTTGCGGTGAACGTGTGAATAGTTGTCAACGTGTTGCGGTGAACGTGTGAATCGTTGTCAACGTGTTGCGGTGAACGTGTGAATCGTTGTCAATGTGTTGCGGTGAACATGTGAATCGTTGTCAACGTGTGAATTGTTGTCAACGTGTTGCAGTGAACGTGTGAATTATGAACGTGTGAATGGTTGTCAGCGTGTTGCGGTGAACGTGTGAATCGTCAAGGTGTTGCAGTGAACGTGTGAATCGTTGTGAACGTGTGAATCGTTGTCAGCGTGTTGCGGTGAACGTGTGAATCGTTGTCAGCGTGTTGCGGTGAACGTGTGAATCGTTGTCAATGTGTTGCGGTGAACGTGTGACTCATCAGCATTTTGTGGTGAATGTGTGAGTCGTTGTGAACGTGTGAATCGTTGTCAGCGTGTTGCGGTGAACGTGTGAATCGTTGTCAGCGTTTTGCAGTTAACGTGTGAATCGTTGTGAACGTGTGAATCGTTGTCAGCGTGTTGCGGTGAACGTGTGAATAGTTGTGAACGTGTGAATCGTCAGCGTGTTGCGGTGAACGTGTGAATCGTCAATGTATTGCGGTGAACGTGTGAATCGTCAACGTATTGCGGTGAACGTGTGAATCGTTGTGAACGTGTGAATCGTTGTCAGCGTGTTGCGGTGAACGTGTGAATTGTTGTGAACGTGTGAATCGTTGTCAGCGTGTTGCGGTGAACGTGTGAATCGTTGTCAATGTGTTGCGGTGAACGTGTGAATCATAGGCATTGTGTGGTGGATGTGTG